CATCCAAGCACATGAAATCAACGAAAAAAGAAAAAAAAGTCATGTGCTCACGAAAATAGGTAATATCATTCTGGGTGAATGTGAGTTGGAGTCACAAGCGAGTTTGGTACTCTGTTTAGTTTCTTTTGTTTCAGCCTTGGCAGTAAATTTGAAACCTGAGGGAGATTGGACCAATGAAAGTTGAGCACGAAAGTGCTATGTCAAGTATGATTTTCATACTTGACTCTCATTGGTCCAATATCTCTCTGGCTGGAAGCAATTGAACCAATTAAGAATTGCATATGAAAATCGGCATTTTATTTCAAACTTCCTGCCGAGACTGAAATGAAAGGAATGGAACGGAGCGCTATATCGATTTTGGATGGTCTGTAGAAGAGGAGCGTAACTTTCTTTCACCTAACTTGTCCTACTGCCGTTCCGGACTGTCCATTCTGAAACTGAATGATATGGGGGAATGTAAAAACAAACCAAGCTCCATCCATCCATTGTTCATCATTGTTGATCCATTGTTTAGTTCAATTTTCTGCCATGGTTTGGCAGAAATTTCAAATTTTACCTCTTGCCCTTTACCTCCCCAAGCTGCTCAGTCTACCCTAATATAAAAAAAATGTTGATCATATTTTTAAAATCTAAATTGAGTGAGCTCATCTAAAGACCATCTCCTTTTGATAGGCGTAAATTACATCGAGTGAGCTGTGATGGAAAATGAAATTTAAACTGGAACCATGGCAAACCTACTACTCACTATTGGCCAGATCGTGTCTGTAGCGGCGCGAAATGCAATTTTTCGACATTTTTTTTTCTCATCAGAGCCATCTTTATCGATGCTCAAATACCTACTGATAACGAAATTACATGGGATTATCTAAAATATTCATCATATCTGTTGTTTCCACGTACCTAGATAGATATGCAGCATGTGGAATGTGATGAACCCAGATATCTGCAACCTGAGGCGCGCATTGTATTCTCACTTATTTCACAGTGCCTTTGTGAGCCTCACACCATTATATGCATTTGACTGGTAAACTCCATTGCATGACGAGTATTTTCGCTTTTGCAGATCTTAAAAATATTGATTTTTAGCTGCAGGGCATGAGATCAAAGTTGCTCGAAAAATAAACCTCAAAAAATGAATTTTTCAGAATATTGTAGACTGGGAAAGTGTCATTGCGGTTTGTTGCGCGGTTCTCTTTGGCATTTTTAGAAAGCATATATCCTAGAGATACCATATACCAAAGCACAAACGGTAGAAACCGGTACAACCATATTTTCCGGTGGTGAACCTTTGAGGTGACCTCCAATTTCTGCGAAAATCAGATATAGAGGTTTTAAGGAACCACGGTACACAGTAAAGCGGCCAATGAAATATTTCAACACAATTCATGTTTTAAGGGTTTTTAAGGTTCCAATAGCATTTCTCGCTCTTTCGATACTTTAGGGTGGAAGGAGGGGGGGGGGGGGGGCCGACCAAAATCAGACAGTCGAAAATTTGTTATGGTCAACAATTTTCTTGAGCCCAGTAAATAATGATAATTTTTTTTACATCCGTTCACGCATTTAGCCCAACTAGGATTGGTTTTAAACCAATTTGGCAATGAATATGAAAATTCTACCATCATATGGCACCTAAGTTTAGAGTGAGTTGACCGTCGCTGACACCAATATAACTGATGAAATTTCAACTTCACTGTTGAACTGTAATTCATGCAATCTTGCGTGCTTGAGGATGATATGTTTGAAGTAGAGGAGGATTCTATATAGAATTCTCCTAATTTGATTAAACATTAATGATGGTATGAAGATAACGCAATAACAAGAACCGACTCGCACACAGCTCAGGATACCGTTACGTACCGAAAATAACACATCATTCATACAATGACAATAGCTTTTAAGAGGGGTGTAACACTAAAATAGGCATAGTTATATTTAAAGAAGTCAATATTTAGTGATCTAAGTGACTTCTATCATACGATATTACATTACTCTAAGTCCAACAGTGAAATTGAAATTTCATCAGTCATATTGGTGTCAGCGACGGTCAACTCACTCTAAACTTAGGTGCCATATGATGGTAGAATTTTCATATTCATTGCCAAATTGGTTTAAAACCAGTCCTAGTTGGGTCAGCGACGGTCAACTCACTCTAAACTTAGGTGCCATATGATGGTAGAATTTTCATATTCATTGCCAAATTGGTTTAAAACCAGTCCTAGTTGGGCTAAATGCGTGAACGGATGTAAAAAAAATTATCATTATTTACTGGGCTCAAGAAAATTGTTGACCATAACAAATTTTCGACTGTCTGATTTTGGTCGGCCTCCCCCCCCCCCCCTCCTTCCACCCTAAAGTATCGAAAGAGCGAGAAATGCTATTGGAACCTTAAAAACCCTTAAAACATGAATTGTGTTGAAATATTTCATTGGCCGCTTTACTGTGTACCGTGGTTCCTTAAAACCTCTATATCTGATTTTCGCAGAAATTGGAGGTCACCTCAAAGGTTCACCACCGGAAAATATGGTTGTACCGGTTTCTACCGTTTGTGCTTTGGTATATGGTATCTCTAGGATATATGCTTTCTAAAAATGCCAAAGAGAACCGCGCAACAAACCGCAATGACACTTTCCCAGTCTACAATATTCTGAAAAATTCATTTTTTGAGGCTTATTTTTCGGGCAACTTTGATCTCATGCCCTGCAGCTAAAAATCAATATTTTTCGGATCTGCAAAAGCGAAAATATTCTCCTTCCAATAGAATTACAAGGTTAGACGATAATACGGAGTTATCAATTAAGCGCCGCTACAGACACGATCTGGCCCACCGTGCTACTGCTGCCATGATTGCGAAGATGGCAGTAAGTGCAAAAATGAAGTTTAAAGGAAACGGGCTCAGAAGCATCTTACCAGAAAATTTTATTGTAAGAAGCCTCTGTTCTCTCTCAAATTATCACTAATCGTCCGAAAGACTCCTTATAGAAATCGTTTGGATGATTGAAAATTACTGCTTTCATTTCAATTACATGAAAAGGGTATTTTTCATTTTCATGCTGGGTTATTGTTAGGCAAGACAGCCGTAAGTGCTGTCTACTGCATGCATTTATGTCATTTCATGCGCACTTACGGCTCTCTCATGTCTCGTTTTCATGAAAATAAGATGAATTTTGCTGTTTTAGCTATTTCAGTGATTGCATCTAAAAGAGATTACTTAGACGAATTTTGAAGGAAACTCAGTTTCGAAACTTCAACCCTTAGGGCTATTCCTGTCAAATCGGGTCTCAACTGCTAGTTGACGAACTACCAGTTAAAGGTAACTTCCAGTTCGACCTGAAGGAGAGTCTTGTCACTGATTTTCAACCTCTAGTTCCTGAACAAAGACTACTTGCCAAATAGTGCATTAACATGATTTGTTCCCTCATATCCTACATCAGGTTGTTTCTAATGTCTGGGAACCCTTGCCGAAAATTCAATTAGCAGTTGAACGAGAGGATAGAACAACCCTTGCAAAGAGGAGGGTGCGGGTGGCGGAGTCCGCAAACCGAGCCCAGGTAGTTAATAAATCAGGCTCTTTGTGAACTAGTGAAACGCGAAGAACCGGAACGAATGTTTTGTCTGAAGTCCTAGTTGAAACCTAACAGGCAGAAAAAGCACCAGTTGAAAATCAGCCCGTTAACAGCCTCTCAACCAGAAGTTGTAAATTGACAAGACACACCAACCTCTAGTTGGACCTTAACAGACAGTCAACTACTAGTTAAATGATTTGACAGGAATGGCCCTTACCTTACTGCTCTCTTTGCTATCTCGGCAGTAAGTACGAATGCTCCTTACTTTTGTAGAGGAGGGTTACCTGTGGAGAGTTGGACTGGATTTAGAGATGAACTCTCTGCATGGCGTGGGGGATCCCCTCCATTACAGCCTCAATTTTAAGAGTCCCTCATGAGCTTGGTTTCTTTCATTGAAAACCAGTGGCACCATTGGGTTTCTCGACAAAATTTACATGAGGAAAAGCACCTATATTGCAAATCCCTGACGCATGCAAGACCCTAATTTCTAGTATCTACATCTCTCTCATTCAATTATTTTCTTCTGAATCATCATTCATTGCATCCTTGTTTTGAAATATATTATTTCAATTTTTGATCGATTAAGGTGCGCTTAATTTTGAGCTGTTATTGATTAGGGTAACGAAGGTGTTTTAAAAAACATGTTGTTGCCTTTGTTTTTGCTTCCTTTCAGATCTGTTCAGCAAGCAATTCCCTAACTTTTCCCAAATGTCAAAAATAGAGAACAGGAGAAACATGCAAAAAATGACAAATATTTGCAGTAATTTAGATTAAATAGTTGGGCAAAAATATCTTTTTTTAATTTTCGGAATTCTGAGTTAGATGTGGTGCTGTTTCCTCTTCTGTACATCATTCTTGTTTATTTTGCACCTATCTTGACCAGTTGTTAAGTACATAATAAGAAGTCGTTTCTCTTGTTGATTTCTTAATCTATAGCTTTTTAACGGAAATGCTTATTTGACCTAGGTAATGTTTCCGAAGGCTTAAAATCAATTCAAAACTATAAATTGGTGTGGAAACACTTTGGATTTACACCGGAGGTTTTTAACATATTGCAAAGTGAAATCAGCACAGGGCGAGAAGGATATCCATTGAGACCAGAACTAGCAGAATCTGTTATGTATTTATATAAAGTGACAAAAGATCCTGCTCTTCTTGACATCGGCATTGGAATCCTGCGAAGTATTCAACACAGTGCCACAACACCATGTGGCTATGCAACTGTAAGTGCAGTTTTGAATGCCGAATTTTTCTAAAGTAAAATCAGCTTCTCTTGAATTGGTGAGCATTGGGACTGGAGTTTTTAGGTTGTACATAAAACACCACTTTGTAAGAGGTTTTCCTACAAGTGTTAAACCAGACTTAATTTTTCCTACCGTTCTAACAGCAGTTAATATGTTAAATATTCAATCGAGGAGGTTGTGTATATTTTTAATGCTGCCAATTTATTCCACTACTATTCCTCGGTTTTCCTAATTTGTGTCCAAAATTAAGAGTCAACTCAAACTTATACCTACGGGGAGTCTAGAGGTGCCAGACGGTTCATGACAAGGGAGGGGGGGCGGGGGCGGCGGAGTGAAGCAAAACGGGAACATTAGTGATCGTCTTTTTCCATCCTGTTACATCAGCACCCCAGAGTCAAGTGGTGCCTAAGCCCACTTTAAACATTTTAAGATGTAAGGAGCAAACTGCGCATCGGCCCCATTGATTTGAATTTAAATCGCGAGTTTTGAAACTTTCTATCTCATAACAGGTTTAGGATAAGGCTACCACGTCTTTTACTAACACGGAAACGTCGAAGGAGATTTCCGAAGCGCCTTTAACTCGATTTTTCCATTAATGTGAGTTGGGCACTTATTGGTGTTGGATTACTGATATATGCTTTTGTTTCCCATCTTTGCCATGAAAGTTACGTGTACTGCCTTTTAGGTATTGTGCTTCCACCAAATGAGGGACAGTAAACTGAAGCTTACACTGGATCTTAATTCATACACAGAGATTTTTACAGACTCTTTCGAGGGTAGAGGGAGAAAAGGAGAAAACTTGAAGTGTGGAAATAATAATACAGGAAATTTATACATCGAAGAATTAAAATGTACAAATGGGCACACTTATGTTGAAGGGAACTGTGTTGCATGCAAATCCTATGCTCGCAGTTCCTGCTAACACAAGAACGCTCAATGAGAAAAAGTAAAAGAGAAGAATAGAAGACAATGTAAAATAAAAAATAGAAAATGTGACCAAAAGCATGAAAATGTCTAACTATTGATAACTTTATGGAAAACGAGTAGTATTTTTTTATCTACAGGGGGAAAGAATCATATATTTTTGTCAATCAAGAAACTATCAAAGAGATGAAGTAGTCTGAAGGAAAAGGATCATCGAATTTTTGGCTGTAAAAATCATGTCAATGGAGGTCCCTTTCCATCCACTAGATTCTGGTTTCAATAAATCAGTAATTTTTATTAAAATCTCAAGATTTCTAATCTGTATATACTGAGGGTTTGAATTATTTTCAGATCAAAGATGCAAAAACACACACTCAAGAAGATCGAATGGAGTCGTTTTTCCTCTCGGAGCTAACTAAGTACCTTTACTTACTTTTCGATCCTGATAATTTTATTCACAACCCAGGAGGACACTCTTCATTTGTGGAGATAGAAAGTGGAAAGCAATGCATCATTGGTGCTGGTGGATACCTGTTCAATACTGGTTGGTAAATTTATTTGCCTCTTTTTCATTTTTCTATTATTAAAAGTGTGTGTAAAATCACAGGAAGATCGATCTTGTCACTGTAACCCCCCCCCCTCCAAAAAAAAAAAAAAAAAAAAAAAATTAAGAAGTTGATAGGGACAGTCTTGTAAATTAATAAAAGTACCTCTGCCAAAAAAAATACCCGAATAATTAAAATATTAAAAGAACGAAAGGCAATGTTTGTAGAAAGACCAAAGGAAGACCAGCAAAGGAAACCAGAATGGAGAAAAAAAATTAAAAAGCTCAGAAATGACATCAGTATTCCAACAGAATGATGCCTAACATTATAATTTCTTTAACTTATAATTTAAGACCTTAACAACCACGGAAAAGATTACCAAAAATGGAAAATCTAATGGAAGAAGCAAAATATAAATTTAACGTCTAGTCAAGGAAGAAATGACTGAACAGGCCATTGGCAAAGCTAATGTTGAGAAGCTTTGAAATGTATTTATTCCCAGTGGTAGATGAGCAAGCCTCCAAAAAAATTTAAACCACTCAGTCCATATAAACTTCATTAACCAGGCGAAGAGCAAGCATCCTCTAGGGGGCCCAAGAAAAACTTGCCCCAAGCATAAATTTTTTCTTTTTCTTACTATGCAACCCTAGGGTACATCTAGCATCTTGCAGGCCTTTCTGTCTGTATTTGCTTGTTTGGATGACAAAGAAAAGCCTTTCTGAGACGTGTTCTAACTGATAGATACCTGGGTACTTACATATTGGGGTAAAAGTTTTTTGTTAATTATGAACATTGAATTTGCTGTACCTACTAATATTGAGATTTTTTACCTGCTCCAAGGTCAAAAACGAATTCAATGCCCACTGTCTATCTTATGCTATGAATAGTTGACCACTCACTTTTCTGTGAAAGATGATTGCTGATAGATCCTACCTGTTGACTTCATTAGTAACTGGTTGGTCGAATATCATCACTATATTGATTAGAAACTTAGTGGACGAGTCTTCTAGGTGGTATACTCAGAACTTTTCTAGCCTTCGTAGCCTCTGAAGAAACCTTTTATAATTGCCTGTAGGCCAACTGTTATTAATTTTTATGAAGGTAGTTAAACATTTTTTGAGGTAACCTTGAAAGAATTCATTTTTGAAGTGACTAGTTAGTCAAGAAAGAAGAATCCATACACCCTTGCATAATCTGGAAGAATAGGCGTTTAGATTTTATGTGTCTTATATGCGGTTTTATGTATTTAGGAATTTTCATCTCTTACCTTTGCACTTTGACTGTTGCAGAAGCTCATCCTTTAGACCCTGGTGCCTTGGAATGCTGCAAAAGTTTTCACTCTTATCAAAATTTTAAAGGTGAGTGCTAATATTTCCTTTCTTATGATTGAGGGCATCGCACAAATGAGGGCCTATAACTAGAAATTGCGTTGTGAAAAAAAAATGCATTGAAAGTTTTGTGTATGATGCTTTACGCTGACTCTGCTATGCTGGTGCGGCTTTTATTTTTTTGGACGACCTAACCTTTCCATTGAAAGACGCTAGTTAAATATTGCAACACTTTTTTGGTTTTTGTTGAAATGAATTTCATTTTAAAAGTCAGTTTATGGGCCCATATTGCGCCCAACAATCATCTTGGTTGGAATATTAAGTAAAATTCATCATAATCACGCAAGCTTAACGCAAAATGGAACTTTAGAATGACAACTGGTGAAACTATACAAAAAAAATTATGCCGATGGTTTTTAAAAACATAACATTGGCACCTTCAGAGGGTATTTCCAGTAGAAACTTGATTTTTCGGAAAATTGGCAGGTGGAAAGAAGAAACAGTTTCCTCGGCTTCAGTAGCAAAAAATAAGATGAGTTATCATCATCGGCGGTACCCGAGAACCAAAAACAACGCTGCTAAGTATTAGGATGCAAGAATGGCATTCATATCTACAGGTTCTTCTTCTCGTTGGTTTCAAAGTCTGGTTTAACTCGGGGAAAAAAGGTTTTTTTTTTTACCTCCAGCCGTTACCTTTCAATATTCTACAGATTTTCTAATATACTTCATGGTACGGAGAATCCAAAAAACCCATGGGAGCAGTAAAGGCTTGTACACGTATAGGTCCTTATTAACGTGGAGTCCTCAATTATTACTAAGTAACGAATACTTTTTTTTCTCTCTGTTAATTTCAGAAAGTTAACCAATCGTTGTCCCTCTAGGTAAGCCACATAATTTTGGCACACTCTTTTCCCTCTAATTATAATCTTCAATCCTTGAGTCAGTTTAAATTAACATAATGTTTTAATTTAAAAAAATTGTAAGGTGATTAAAATTATCAGGTACAATCTGCTCTCTTTCTTTTCCGTCAGGTCAGCCTTTATATTGCCATCTATTGTTTGAAGATTCCTATTTTTTTAAAGTATCCTTATCTGTTGTCATGAGGAAAAGTTCAAGGTATTTGCACCAGTTGTATATATTAGCCGATGACGTCAGATTGCCAGAGTGTCATCCACTGGGCAATGTTTACATTGCTCAAGCAGCGTTCTCGAGTAATCTGACTTTTCCGGTCAATATATAAGCAGAGGAAAAGTTCTGAAGAAGAGAGATCGTCTAACTGGCAAGAGTCAGTTGGATCCGGTGATTCATCGCCGTTGAGTTCCTTGGTCCTGCAACACACGCGGTGTACCAAAACTAGCTAGCTTGCTGTGAAGCCTCCTGCGATACTCGCAGAGTAGGCACTCCCTAACTGAAAGGAAGAGCATATCATTCCATGATCCTACCATAGAAGCATATAACACAAAATCGTACGTCGTTCAATTCTTTCATAACACTATCTAGTTTCACACTCCATTTTTGACTATTAAGTAGCCATTCAATTACACTTTATCACCGTCGAATTCCTGTTTTTGAAAACTCTACTACATGAAGCTCTCTGTCATTTATGTATCCGTAATAATTGTTTTTAGAGAGCTCCAACCAGTCAGCAGTATCTTGGACAAGTGGAAATCATAGGAGAAGCTTGGATATCAGTTTGGAGCAAACTAGCTCATTTGGCGAAGAAATTAGAAACGAAACGAATGCAAGTGGTTTTATCAGCGAATCACATCCTAACAAAGTCTTATTATCCAGTAAAGGCACGAACTGTGTAACCTCGGAAAATATCTCCAACTTGAGCAATTCAGATATTCGTCATATGTACAATGATCTTATCAAGAATGAAAGTGTCATCATTGACCATTACCTCAATAATATATTCAATTCCTTAACATTCAGTCACAAAGGAATTACAATGAATGATACTTCTCTCTCTGATCTCATTGATGTAACTTTCAACCGGTCGTGTAGTTTAGAAAGAGAGCTCTCTGATCTTAGAAATTTATTGCAAATTTTCTCAGTACTAAAGGCAGAGAAAGATATGTATTTAACCGACTTCTGTGATAGCATTTTTGATGTAACTTTTACATGGACTCATGAAGCATTTCACATATCATCAGACGATCTGATTCCATCATTCTTTGAGTCTGTTGATCTTAGTGATAAGAAATGGAGCCGTTCTTCACCAGGTATCACGGTAGACAATGAAGACAAAATCTCTCCAGTGGCTGATACTTATAGAATAAATCTGGTACAGAATTCTGATCTCAAAGATAATGCGTTAACATTAAACGAACAATTGAAGAGAAATTCTAGTCTCTATCCTGCCACCAACCTAACGTTCAACCATGAACATCTATTGTGTTCAGCTCAATCTTTTAAATCGAGGCTCATGTTATCGGGCGAATTTTTTAGCACATTTACTGTCTGAAAATGCAGTCAGCACCCCAATTGAAAACTGTCCTCAAAAAATTGTTGAGTTACACAAAAACGAATGAATTTAGCCCTCTGTGAAAAGTCTCTAAACGCTAAAGTAAATCCTCCTCCCCCTGTCAATAGAACCTAACCCTTACAACACAGAGGGGTTAGTACCTTAACTTTGAGCTTGCATTTTATTTCCCCTGAACTGTTCCTTGATATGTAATACGATGTTATGAGGATAAAACGTAAATTACAGAGAAAGATTTATCCTCATGATCATGGAAGCACTGTTCCTCAATTTTTATTTTTAAATTTCAAGCAATCGCCCCTCAAATTAGTTATTTTTTTATTTTTAACATTCTCTACAAAAACAAACAAAATTTAGAAGAAAGAAATTCACTAGAAATTAATAATGCAATTGATACAGCTAATAGGTTAAGCATAAAACAATATTACTGTCGAAAAGAAAGCAACTAAAATTAGTACCTGTAAAACGCAAGAAGATTGTAAAATAATAAAGAAAAAGCCCAGACAATGGAGGAAAACCTGGATTGACAGCACTGCAGTATTTCAACGGGGATGGATGGGGGGTTGATAGTCTTGTATCAAAAGGACTTCCCGGACATAGGCCACGATCTCAGACCAGCCCTTCCTGGACCGAAGCATGGTCTCAACATATTATCAGGGGTCACTACACCAACTTTCTTAAACAATAAGGCACATCGCAAATGGTAAAATTTACCACATCCGAAGAAAGTATGCTCTACAGAGTCCTCCTCTGTACAGAAAGGACAGGTACTATTAGCAGCGATCTCACGTCTTGTAAAGACCATGCCCAGACAGAAATTGGCACAGGTGAAAGTCCACCTCGCCGAAACATTCTCAACAGCCAGGGTTTGAGCTCCTGGATGAATTTAAATTAGTTAGTGTCTGTGTTGTGAGTCCTCAAAATTACAATTTTAAGCCTAAACCCATACATTATTGGTACTGAAGATAAAATAAAGGGAGTACCAAATCTACCATTTTTGTCTAGAGCACAAATTATGTATCACATTTAATGGATATGAAAGCTAGCGAGACATTGAGAGATTGATTACAGTATGTGATTGATAATATTGAAGTAATCGAAAGTGGGGTCCATAATAGCCCAAATCCGAATAGAGCTTTTTTAGATTTCTAGCTATGAGTTTGGAGAGATCTATTGGAAATAAAGATGAGACGTTTATATGTAGATATGTAGTATGTGATAGATAATATTGAAGTAATCGAGACGAGAGTGCGATCCATAATAGCCCGAATCCAAATAATGCTTTCACAGATTTCCAGCTAAGAATTTGGAGAGATCTATTGGAAATAAGGACGAGATGTTCATATACTCCGATCACTTAGAATCAACTGCTTCTACAGATTTGGATGAAAAACGCAGCTAATACTTTTTCGGTATTGAACAATTCGTCTCCATGTAATTTTAAGAGGAAAAATAAGTCTGTCTTTTTCTATTATGTATTTTCCAGCCAGTGTGGCAACATATTTTTTTCGCTATACAGCATTTTTTTGTCCTGTGAACTCAAAAAATGTTTGTCGTCCATCCACCCAGAGTTCGTAAATGATAAAACATCACTAGTTCAGTGTTGCAATAAAAAATGTTTCCAAGACCAATCTACACAGGCCATTCATTGCACATCTTTTTGAAATCCACTCCCCCGCCCGGCCATAACTCGGCGGCACCCAATGCTACGTCAGATTGGGTGCTCCCACAAGAATTATATTGCTGGCATTCAATACTACGTCACTGCGCAGTAGAGTTCCAAAACTCGTCCTCGGGAATGACTGACCTGTGTAGATTGGTCTTGAGTGTATCCCAGAAATAACAGGAGGTCAGTGTTTTATTACGTAATTATGACCAAAAATATCGAATAATTCAACAAGATGATCATCTTGACTTGGCAAGAGGAAAATTATGCATTCGCTTTTCGATTCCATGTCCTTTTCAGTTACTGGAAAAGCTAAAAGATACTTATGAATTCGTTTTTAAGGAAGAGTCATTCCCCAACACTATAAAAGAGTTGTGGCACTTTAAGGGCGATGTCTCATATTTTGACGTACCTACAAGTGTTCGCTCAGGGTTGTATGCACCAACGTGTAGGTATTTAAACTAAACAACCTATTAATAGCAGGTGGGGCAATTTGTAACGCTATTTCTGTTCCCATGAAGTTTTTGTTCTTATTGTACCTATTCTGTTTTATGCATCATCCAATTTATTGATCATTAAGCCAAGAATGGATAACAGGATGGTAGAGAGGAGCTGGGTTCGTACTATTCTGCAGGGAAGTCAAAGCCAAAACTTTTGGAGTAAAAAAAAATTAATTTCAATGAATAGCGGTGCAAGAGAGAGAGAAAGTGTTTGGCCTAGGCAGATTCATTGAAATACTAAGCTGATGTCACGCCGAGAAATCAACATTCACAAGGGTCTTATCAGGAGAGCACCCTCGTTAGTGAGCCTATGTATAACTTGGCATCTTGCAGAATCCCTTACACCGCTGAAATGCTGCCATGAACATGACACTTGAGTGCTATATCCTTGAGCCGATTGATTGACACTTTTCTCCTACAATGTTACTAACAATTCAGACCACATTTGGGTGATTTTCCTGGCTAGGAGTAGGTGAGAATGGTATTTTTACTTTGAGTCTAATCTATTTTTTTTTTTTTTTTTTTTTTTTTTTTCAGAATCTTGTTAGGTATTGTGAACTTGGGAATTGATTCTCCATCAACCCTAAACATATTTTGAAGAATAGGCTGAGGTTGGGAATGGCTGATCATGGTAGTGACAAGCAAAAGGTAAAAGGAAAGACAAGAATTTAACCTTGAAGAAAGTCTTTCTTCTTAGCTGAAATGATAAAAATTGAAGAGCATCTAAATATCTCAGTCTCCGTGGACATTCTCTTCCTACCATTGAAAAAATTAAAAATATCTCGCCTAGCATGATTGTAGCCATGTTGCTGGAAGACAATATTTCAGCAAGAAGTTACAGTATTTTGGAGCAATATTGTTCGCATTCATTCCCATGACAGTTGGAAACTGGTAACATTAAAATTGATACATTATGCAGGATGACCCAGGATTAAGTACGAGTATTGAAGGTTTCGATTCTTCGGGTCCAAAAAGTATGTTTTTGTAGTGTTATTTAATTTCCAAAAACGCGTTCCCTGGGGGCCCCATTATCCCCCTATTTTTCCCTATTATCTCGAAGACGATAAGTCAGCGAAAAAACGCAAGATACATTGTCTCAATATTTTTCAACGTTGAAAGAAACTAAATGAAAAAGTGGAGCAGTCTCCAAAATGTGGAGGGAGGGAAAATGTTGAAGGGTCATCAGTCGAGAGTCAACGAATAACAGGAAAAAATGTCATATTTTTTTAAGTTGGTGGGAAATTTTATGGAAAATCGATGAAAAAAAATTTGGAAAGCCGGCGGACGGGCGCTTGAAAATGTGGAAGCTTGGAAGATATAGAAGAAGCCTATTTTCCGAAAAAAGCCTAAAAAAACCATAAAATCGCGATTATTTCTCCAGGAGCTCCAACAACCTATTTTGAAATTGTGGTTCTTAGTATCTGGTAGTGCTCCTCTTGACATTCCAGCTCAAATTTTTATGTCAGGACCAACTTCGAGCAAAACCCCTTTCAGGAGCACCGTGCCAAGGGAAAGTGTTTTTGGAAAAAAAGTTATGCCACCAAAGGGTCCTTTTTGACCCACAGAATCGACTCCTTCAAAATTTGTACTTAATCCTGGGACACCTTGTATATTCATGCTAAGTGCTGAAATTTAACTTTGACGGTGCCAGAAAATCTGCTTTCTAACGATACTTGACAATATTGCGTAAATAATTCTCTAAGAATCCTGGAGCTGATGTAACAACTGAAAACCTAAATCCTTCAATTTTCGAATTCAATGGTCAAAACTAGTTTCCGGGAATCCCATATTAGCAAAAATAGTCTTGACTGAAATGAAGGAGAAGACACTATCAAAAACCAATGATTCAGCAAAACATGAAAAAATTGATCTTTCAGTTAACGTATCAATTTCAAAGACAAAATAACCTCATTCCCATAGGTGAGGGAAAAATCAATACAAATCCCCAAACTTTCAATTTTAATCACAAGCCCTTTCAGTCCTAAGAAGGGATTGCCAAGCAGCTGGGAATTTAAATGGCACCTCCATATCGGACAGGATCTATGACAAGGGTCTTCATCTCTCCAAAATGTGAAGTATAATTACTAGCGTCACTGCGAGATGGAAAAATCTGGACATTTTGTTGATGCAAGGTTGACCCTGAGAGCTCCTAAGACAAAAATTCTCAAGCTTTAGAGTAGGAATTGAATTGCAAACAGAAAATGAAACGCTAGAGTCTTCTGCGTTAAAAAATTCAACTAGAACCATGCGTTTCTTATTCCCCAGGCTGTTAATGAGCATTTCCGTTGAGAGCAGAGAATCACCAATTTTAACCTTTTTTCCTAGATTCCACTCTCCTTGAAAATAAGGTCTCTTTTCACTGATCCTGTCACGTATAAATACTAAAGAGAAGAGTTACAGTAGACCAGGAAAAAATAAATAATGCGCAAAATATGAATTCTTAAAAACTGTACTTGAATCATGATTGAATTTGCAGACCAAACACTATTTTGCTGAGGTCAAAATCATGCATACACTTTGTATAGAGAGAGAACATGAAAGACACACACTGATGTGCCAAGAAAATGGAAAAGGGGGACAATTAGCCAGAATAAATGAAGTGCAGTTTTCAACAACCTCCAACCAGAGGTATTGGTCGTAATTTGAGACAAAAGAAGCAAAGGAATGTCCAGGAAAATGATTGTGCACACATTAAAATATGACTGGTGTATCTTAGTGAATGATAAAATGCGAACACCTACAGAAAAAAACAGAATATATAATAAAAGAAGAATTAAATTCTGATTAACTAGAAAAGCTACATAAAATACAAACTTAGACAATTTTCTCCCTTTCCCTGATACAAGGTACAAGCCAAAAAATTTTGAGTAGTGCGATCTCAACACAAATTCTTTTCAGTTCATGGAAGGTTTGACATAAGAATACCTTCAAGTCATCAAGTTGAATGAGCATTATGAAGCATTCAGGGTTGAGCCACGGGGGCCATCTGCAAATTTCGTAAGGCACTTAAGGGGGGGTCAAGAGGTACCTTGCGGTGGGAGGAGGGGTCAAGCGCTGCCTTACGTATGCCTAACGCTAGGATTTTATTTCTTCTAAATTACGTAAATTCAAAGACTGACTAGTCAAAATTTCGTTTTTTTTTTTAGAAATTTAATGTTTTTTTTTGATAGAATGAATTTTTTTTGAACTTTTTGAAATTAAAATCTGGTTATTTTTTCAATACAACTGTTATTCTTTATGATCTCTTACCGTAATGTCTAAAACAATACAGATTTGTTTCAACACCATTTTTTCATTAAATTATGCATTTAAACGATTGAAAGGGGTGGGGGGGGAGGGGTTTGGTCCGCCTAACGTAATTTCTT